ATTGAATGGCCTGTCCTAGCTTGGCGGATATCAATCGGGGAGGCGAGAGAACGAAGGACCTCAAACTTCTCATAATTGGGGTGTATCTCGTCTTGGTCGGTTTCCATCTTTTCTCGCATGGCATTCATTTCGACTTGCAGCCTTTCCTGATTGGCGTCTATCTTGGCCAGCAGGTGTTCTATCATCTGTTCCATTTTTGTACAATGGCGGTATAACGATCAAGATTCAATGCAGTTTACAAAGCAACCATTTCAAACACCGTATCGATTTTCAGTGTAACTACAGACGAGGTTTGGATTCGTTGCTGAATTTACTGAACACTTATACACATAACTCGTAACTACATGCATTTTGACTGTAATTCTTGGTGGTGTGAGGCTACGTCCACTTGGTACTGCGGCCACTGTTGCCCTATTGTATCAGCCAAATATACAAATTGTGATTGTGAAGCAATTTGTGGAATGAAGATTGGCAGGGGAACCGAACTACACGGAGAAAATCTGTCCCAATGTCATTTTGCCCACCACAAATACCAAACATGACCTGAAACTGGCTCGAACCAGTGCCTCCAAAGTGGGAAGCCAGTAACTAACCACGTGAGATATGGCACGGCTTTAACCACAAGTAATTATAACAGCCCCTTCGTTTAACACTCTGAAGATTAATGTAACTGCAGCACAATTTTGTCTTCACTAGTTGTCTCCTGGCAACGGATCCTAACAATGACCTCTGCATACGTCTTTACCTGCTGGCGAATATCCCACAAATGACTCATTGCTCAAATTGTGTAATTCTCAAGCCGGCGGCAATCTCATACCAACCAAGTTTAACTCTTCTCTTCACTAAGCTGAAACTCAAAAGTTATTTTGCGACTGAGAGTTTACCGCCAAACAATTCGTCTTGGTGTCAAGCCCCTTAAGACTCTCGACCAGATTTCTTGTGGTTACTTCTTATTTAAAGTCTTCTCACGAGATGGGTTTGTCACTTATGAATATGCTTGACCATTCATCGAGCCTACGTATATCACTTTTAGCATGTTATTGAAAATTCATTTTACGCCTTATACAAGTCCTCTCAGTACAATTTGGCAAGCACATCATGCGTATCCTATTCTACAGCAGAGCTTAGTCAATTGAGCAGTCGTAGGCTTTACCACCGCCAAGTTTAAGCCTCTTCTATTTTTATGTCTATCTTCGCCTTGTCCTATACCAAGTACATGTTCATTCTCACGACTTTGTAGCCTTGTCACCTGAAGAATCTGGCTCGTAATTATATATAGCCACCTGTTTAGTATGTAACGCAAGTAATTTCACGCAGGTCTCGGATTTTGCGAATTCGTTTATTGACCAATTTCTTCTACAATTACAAGTACAATTATTCACAATCACAATTACTGCCAAACTTAAGGCTGACTACTCTTCTAAGTGCAACTACAAACTAAACTCGTGTCTTGTTGAAACTAGAGTCTTATAAATTGCATTTTGAGTCAATAGGGAACACCATGTCGAAGGGTTGATTCCGCTCGCTACTATTTAGTCAAAGTCACATTGCGATTGGAAACTCCACTGTTAGCTTGCTCGCCGCTGTATAGTAATGGATGCGTTCCGGTTGTAGCGGGAACATCACTCGTTGGCTAGGAAATCATGATTTCAACAATTCCGGATTCCTGGCACGCCACAAATATGTGTATATAAATATACGACCGGTGTCCACCTTGTAAAATTCACTAAGTTCTGAATCGGTCTTATATTACGACAGTCGGTCAGTCGGCCAGTCTGTCTTTAAATAAAGCACCCATTGGGGCTTAAGATTTGTTGATGTGGGGCGCTCTCTCTGACGGATGTCTGTTTACAATTGCTCCTGGCCCTCGCCAGCCCAGCCATTTTCGGGTCCGAGTCCCCTGGACCTAGTGACCATATCCGAGTGCTATATTAATATCGACGATCGGTCGGCTTGTGTCTTGGAATATAGCACCCACTGGAGGCTTACGACCAGATATTTTACTGTCAGACTGTTGAGGTTTGTTAACGTGGAGCGCTCTCTGACGATGACAGTTCTGTCGTTTACAATTGCTCCTGGCTCCTCGTCAGCGCATTCATTCTCGGGTTCGAGTCTCGTGAGACTAGAGACCGCATTTTACTGTCTCACATTCCAGTCTTCCCTTTTCGTCATCTCCTACGACTAGCAGGGCTACAGTGGAGGTATTCGACCTCACCTCCACACGGGAAGAGTAATATCCATTATTTCAATGGCCTATTTACGCCATGCAGGAATCGTTGAGCCTGTGTGTGACATTAGAATCACTTTTCGTGTTTGATCACAATGTGGATAACAGACATTTGAAGTAGTTGCTATATGTGTACTCCGCTGAAATAAACCGGTTTACCAAATGCACATTTGTGTTTCCCTTGTATCACTATCATTGATCTTAATTTACTTAAGTTAATCTTAACAAGTTTGTTGTTGTTAATCGTTTTGCAAATGGCGCACCCGTGAAATCAGAAACATTTCTTTAAATGCTCCCTACATGCAGTGGTATTTCAAATACCGTCACCTGTTAAGAGTGTCTCTCGACGGGGTTCCGACTGCTGCTGGCCCTTGCCTTATTCTCGGATTCGAGTCCCGTGGGACACGCGACCATATTTTACTGTCCCAGATTCGAAACAACCCTTTCCGTCGCCCTCTACGACTCGCTGGACTATGGTGGAAGTAGACGACCACTCCTCCACACGGAATAGATTCTTTCGAAGCCGTTACTCTGTAACGGTTCTTGCATATTTGCTTATTTCGCGTTCGTAGACCAGCAGAGGGTCTACATGCTAAAAGACACACTGTTCAATAAATTCTCTATTCTACAGTGATTATTAGGTATGTGTCCGAAATGCACGCCTTGACTAGCCAACTATCATCACTGAATTGTTATGCTACCGTTCGCCCAACATAATTCAATTAACCCACCATCAACTTCGATCACGACAGAGACTTCACAACTACGTTTTTCTTCGATCTTGCCATGAAGAATTGCAATAAGACCCACGTAATTATTAATTTTATTTAACAGCCAATACATAATACTTTTCATTCCTTGGTAAATAGATCGAAATCTTAACCTTGGGAACTTCGCAACAGTAAAAATCTGGCGTGGCTACATAGCATGGACCGTCAGACTGGGTTTCGCATCGACTTGGTCGAAATTTGCCTGCATTTTATCGTTTTCAAAGTAAAGTTAATGGTGATGGTACTAACGTAGAGAACACAACAATCTATGAATAATATATATACCGTAGTTATTGAACTGACTAAGGTGGATTCATTTTTTTAATTCGCTTAGTGGGGGGTGGAGTCCAACTGGGTCCACTCGGCACGGAGGCCACTGATTGCCCTATTATAGCCTGTATCGGGTGATTATGATGATGGAGAATTTGGTGGAATGAAGACTGGCAGGGGAAACTGAAGTACTCGGAGAAAACCCGCCCCAGAGCCAATTTGTCCACCACAAATCCCACTTGACCAGGCCCGGGCCGCCGCCGCCGCGGTGGGAAGCCAGCGACTAACCGCTTGAGCTTTAGCGCTCCCAACATGAATTCATTAGTAAATTCAATATTGCAATTCTGTTGAATTTTAGAGTATGTATCTTGTAATATGCTGAACATGGAAACTGTTTCCTAAACTACAGCACTCGAACATGACATAATCACTCCTTCGTATTTCACCAGTAACTTAATTCCCGAGATCCAACATTACCGTAAAAGATGCTCGCATCGACTCTCATTGTACAGTAAGGCTAATTTACTTTATTGTACCATAATGTAACAATTGCCTCTCTTTGGAGGATGGCAAGTACCTTCGTTCTGCAAAGTAATTAAAGTAGCTCCACTCTACAGATCAACAATTTAGTCATCCGGGTAGGTCCATCCAACGTAATTACAATTGACTTATTTTATAACACAGTGAGAAACATTAAAAAAAAATCCATATATGTTTCATATTCCCCATTCGCCTTATGTTTGGAAATCCGCTGGTTTTACACCGTGAACATATTATCTTCCTATTTCTGGTACCTCAAAATTACTGCAACATTTTTATTATTACAACTGTGTACTTGGAAACTGCCTTGCGACTCTACTGCTTAAACTACGATGTATCGTTTGTTGCGTCAGGATGACCGAAGAGCTGGATGGCATCCTTCGACTACTTTTATTATGCAAAATGACTCACTGAAGGGGTTATTTAGAGGAGGGGAATCTGACATATAAACGCCACGTCGATTTTCTGAAAACTGAAGTGTAACGTTTTTATTCTTTTATGCTCACAGGCAATAAATTATCCTTCTTTATGGTACAAATTTCACCAGTGTTCTTTGGTTCGATTCAAGGTTGCTTGAAATCCCCGCCTTACATATCCTCATCTTTACTTCACATTTAAACATGCGCATGTATCACAGGCCCTCATCTTTTCTACACATAAAAAGGTTTGTCCGCAGCATCGCGTCCACGTTAATTCCATCAGCGCCCGCTATCTGTTCTACAAATCAATGGCGTCATTCTTCAGTCTTGTTACGCAACATAAGATACGAAGTTGTTTATGCAAAGAATCTAAGAAGTTTATCGGTGTGGATAAAATATGATTGGGCACTTCCGGTACGGAAACATGCAAAGCAATAAGTTTCTATGTGTCTTGTTAATAAATCCCGTCAAACTTGTCGTAAGCTACGGCTTAAACCCGAGATCACACCACTGCAATCGCGCCTATCCAAATTCCATACACACTCTCACGCCCTATTTCCGCGGAACAGAAAAATTCTCTCCATGCGATATTTCAACACATCAGAGACGATGGCTGACAACAGTTCTACGTACTTCAGAATCGACAGTCGGACTTCTAAAAAGTAGTTCCGCTCTCCTACTCTACGTAAATTCCAGTTACTACGCTGGCTACATATAATGTTTCATCACACGCAAATATAATATGGTTTTTAATCACATTAGGCTTGAAATTACCTGCCACACTAGACGCCTTCTCTTTCTTTGGCAACAACTTAACAACCATTTGATGAGCTCTTCGTTGCCTAAGTCAAACTCGAACATGCTTTCACTACTTCACTCTCCAGCTAACGCGCACACACTGAAGCAGTTGGAACACCAGCGCCCCTACTTCCTGGCTGAAACTATTCCAACCACATCTACCCCTTCCAAACTCCCTCCTCAGCTCCAGCCAACATCGCTTCTAACCGTTGCGGCCAAGCCTGTCCTGTGAGGTCCCGTATACATAGCCTCTACGGCGCATTCGAACAAAGAAATCCGCGTCATTCCAAAATCAACCAATAGGATGCGTTATCCCCCCACCCATGGAACATTGTACAAGGTTACAACACCTGAGGACAAATGTTGTCATTTCTATTCCGGGGCGTATGTAAAGATAGTGAAAGAGACCATGTGACACCTAGGTAAAAATGCAAGGATAATATTAAAACTGGCAACTGGTGAGGTATGAACTGGATTTATATGGCTGAGGCTGGTGGCGAGTTTTCAATTTCCTCATAAACCACCACAACAAAAATTGGTTTCACAAACTTGCAATTAAAACATTTTCTGATATAATGTATGCTTCAAAAAACCAACGGAGATTAATTTCTGGCTACGCGACGTGTGGTACTTAGGGCGATGTGCCTTGATAACGAATGGGTCTGAATCTGCGAAGTAAATATTTGTAATAAATTAGGAAGCAGAGTACGTTACACAAAACTGCAATAAAGATTTTTGGGTTACATTCTCATTTTATTAAATCCGCTGTTAGAATACTGGAGCTTCAATCCCCGATGACAGCGTTGGAATTTTTTTTTTGGCCATTCCTAGCCACAACTGAAACTGAGCAGCTGATACGGAGTCGTCAAATATATGAACAGCGGAACCTGAAGCTTACAATTCGTATCCATATAATTCTTAAACTTGAAACTTTATATGAGCATGTTGTTGTGACATTTATGTGATCCCGTCACAGAGAATGAGAGGATATGCAGCACGCATGGTCGAAACAATGTTGGTCAGAAAAGTAAGGCTAGAAAGAAAGCTACTATTAACATTGATTTTAGAAAAATATGCTGTAAAATGTGAACTAATCTGGCGCAAGTTTTAAGCTAAGGACCTTCAAGCACAATATATACAAAAGCATTACCTTCTGGGAGGTGACGCCATGTAGTCTACAGTCATTTTAATGGAAGTACTGTCTCCACCTGACCCTGAAAATGGAGTCCGTGAGTTCTGCCGAAACCAGACCCCAGGATATCACGCCCGACAAGCTAGTACGCTCCAGGATGTTATTTCAAGACTACCAGCTGTGAAGGAAAACTCTGCTCTCTCTATCGAGTTTCTATAGTGGTAAGAAAAAACAGCCTGAGGATGTTGTTGCCTGATGTTCATAATTTAACTGTAAATACTAATTTTATGTCTAGCATCAATATTCTGCCGGTAAGCCGTTATTAGGAAGACTGGTTAAGTTCAATTTGGGTTTCGTGTTAAGTGTTACGTAAGACTGTAATCAAAATTCATTTTCCAAAGAATTATTAGCGCGGATTCCAGTGACACTTTTAATCGAAATTCCTTGAGTAAGTTCGGAGAAGTGCAGAAAGACAGATGGACAAACATGACCTCAAACATGCGGTTACTGCGTGTATTTTTTCGCCCTTTCAATGGTTCTTCCAGCCCATTCGAGGGGCCCTAGCCTCTCACTCAGTTTCGTAATCATTTTACGCAGACTGTAGGACTGCTTGGACGAGTGATCAGCTCGTTGCAAAGCCACTACCTAAACACAGAACTCAAACACAGAATAAAAGCATACACACACACCAAAGATCCATGCATTAAGTGGGATTCGAAACCAAGATCCCAACGTCCGAGCGAACAGACATTTCATGCCTTAGACCGAGCGGCTACTGTGACCGGCGCTTACTGCAGGTACTTCCTTAAAAAAATACGATAAAAATATTAGTCCAGAAAATTACTTGCAATATCCATCCCAACTTTTTCCACACAAACGACATCTAATCCAGTCTGGATATCAATATGCCACAGATGTTCTACAAGTGTATCCTCAGCTACATACATACATAAACATTATCCCTTGTCACAGCACATACAACATAACGAGTTAAAATTTACATCAAGTGACCAACAACTTCTAACAAGTAGTAAAAACGTAATTGTAAATTGCCTGACATGCAGAGTGAACTGTTTTGGACAGCTGCAGCAACTCTCAACACGTGACGTTAAGAGTTTCACTAAACTTTTAATTTTTGTCAAGACCAAAATTTGCTCAATTATACTTTGCTACGATTACGTCACCAGTACGCCTTAATGCGGTAGTCCTTTGGTAATGGAACATTATTCACGTTTAACAGTGGTAACAGTTTTATTTATGCCCGATTTAACAGCGCATTTAACCGCAAGTTACAGTCCTTAAACACAACTGGAAGGAATGTGAGAGGAAGCGGCCGTGAATTTAAGCTACTAATAGCGTCTGAGAGCGTGTGTGTGTGTGTGTGTGTGTGTGTGTGCGTGTGTACAGGTAGAGGCCTTGCGACGAGCTGATCACCCGCCCAAGGAGTCCTACTGAATGTGTAAGATCTAGAAAAACTGAAGCGGAGAAGTTCATGGAAGTAGGCCTAGGCCCACTGGGGCTGTAGTGCCAAGGAGAAAAAAAATAGCGTCTGAGAAAATGTTTTCCTCGATCCCTATAGGCAAATGCCAGAATATTACCATNCACGGCGCCATGCAAAGGGTGCCTATTACGTGGCCGTTTTCCCGTATTGTCCGATCGAGGCTACATACGGAGCAGCGAAGGCTATTCACAGTCAGTTCTAGTGTGGCTACCGCAGAGTTGTACTGAGTTGTACTGTAACAGTCGCCGAGTCGAGACGTAGAGTCAGCCAGTCAGTTGTATTCTGGCATTGGGAGTGGACTAATTGTGATACTGCAGATAGCAGTAATCGTCAGATTGTAATTTGGGTGATTGTATGAGCGAATGTGAAATAAAATAAAATAACCCCTCACGTCCAGAACCCTTCTAATTATCTATCGACCCACCATTCGGCACTTCATACTCCGGCTACTGACATCAAAATAAAATAATTCGTCTAAAATATCCCTAACAATATCAGCAGAAATAATAATAAGTGAGAAGCTCTACGTTACACAGAGACATTCTCACCTTTGTTGACGGATTCACGGCTCTGCGCTTCACGCCAACCAGTACACCACCGTCTGCAAGGCGCATACGAATTTTTTCGATGCCTGATGCCCGATAACGTTCTGAATTAAAGAAACTTCTTTACTTGCAGACCGCTTGACGGTATTGTGTTTCACGGCAAGCAGTTCGGTTTATACGTGGGAATTTATGACGTGTCAGCAATGGGAGGCATTTACCTCCTCCAAATCCCGTTTCTTCTCAATCAGTTTCTTTCATCATGGTGCGGTATACTTTAGGGCAACATGTATTTCTGTATGACACCTACGTGAAATACGATCTGCTTGAAAGTGCCAACGTAAATTTCGTGATGAAAGAGTTCCCAGCACAAAATTAACAATTTGATTAATAAACGCAAAACAACAAAATCTTAATGTGAAAGAAACAAAAACACACGCGCCGAGTGTTTACTAAGTAATATCACACTGGCGCCAGACTTGAACATACTACCTTATCACTGGAACTTCCAGCTCAAGAGACTGGAGTGTCAAAGTCTAATGCATGAAAGGCAACACAACTGTTGAAGCTTAGACACTACAAAACAACAGTAACACATGCAAGCCTTGCAGCCGCGCCATTCTGCTAGCAGGGTTCATTTTTGCTGTTGGTTTATGCAGTCTGACGTTGAAGGCGACGTCGATCTGCAATTGGCATTCTTTTGTGATGGAGCGTGGTTTCACTGTAGAGACACATAAATACACAAAATAATCGCTACTGGAGTTCACACAATCTATATCTAACCCAGAAAATCCCGCCCCATCCAGTAAAAATTGGTGTCCGGTGTGCTATAAGTGCAACAAGGGCTGTTGGACTTGTGCTTTCTAATGAAACAATTAATTGCGAAAGATACGCCCTGGTCATTCTGGAGCAATTATTTCCATACTTAAGAGATAAAAAGTCCCTATGGCTGGTTCCAGCAAGACTCAGCTACTGCCCACACTGCACGTATACGCAGGCTTTGTCCGATGTCTTCGGGGACAAAATTATCAGCAGTGGCACCTGGCCAGCAGGTTCACCCGATCTTACTCCTGATTTTTTCTTCTGGGGTTGTCTGAAGAACACAGTTTACAACAGTAACCCCCTAACCGAAGCACCAAATAAAAAAAAATGGTAAATCAAACGGTAAATCATAACTGACGCTTATCATTCTGAGCCCTTATTTATTTGGATGATTATAGATAACCATGAAATTAATTTCTAATTAATTCTCGGTAATTTTAATTTCAAAAGTCTTATGTTTCGATATTACTGGAAATTTATTGATATTTAATACCGTATTTCATTGTCTGGGAAGTGCAACACGGTGTTTATGTTGAAATTTCTAGATTCTTGCAGGACCAAGGAGTCCGGAGTTCTGACATTTACGAGCAGTCATAAATTTAGCTCGGGTACAGGGAACCGGACGCGCCTAAAAGGAAGGTCAATGAGAAAGACAGGTCAGAACTTGTTACAGTTGCCTGTGAATGTATGATTGACTTGCCTCGTTCAGCTTCCTTACGGAAGATGGGATGACATGTATATGTCCACACCATGGAGAATTCGAATTCCCGGCGTGGGGTGTGCAAGCCATTCCACAAAAGAGAGACTTTCACCATATTCCGAAGTGAGCGGACATGACCCTTGCACGCTCCGAGACCTAGCTTGCAGCTCGTGTAACGCTATAACTTAAAGCATAAGGATACATTAATTTAACAGTGTTGTTTGGAGAACAGAAAGGTGAATAAACGTCAATTGGATCAACTCGCAGAATACCACTTTCTTCGGCATCGCTACCCTGAGACTCATGCAAACCGACCCAGCTAGTTTCCCGTACCTACACAGATCTTCCTTAGTTTGATCAGTGAGGACAACTTGCAGTGGCCATCATACACTCTCCTAAGGTGGTAACAGGGATATCACCATTCCGACTGAGCTGAAATAAACAAAGGCAGGTTGGAAAAGAGCGGTTTATAACGTCTTCCGCCGATGTGATCAATGTC